GACCTAAGTTTGTGATTGTTTTTATGGTGGTTGTTAAGGCAATCACATGGTTATTAAGTGAATTCATTCACCCAAATGGGTGTTTTTTGTTCAGAAGCCAGCAAAAACCATTGCAAATTGAGGTCAAGTGACCGTGGGAAGCTACAACCAGTCACAGATGCAACTGATTGTCAAGCACCTAAAATTTAGTCATGTGACTATGGGAGAGGGCGGTGTGATGTTTTATGATAGATGGAACTGTTTTACGAATCATCATGCACACTTTCCATGGCCCTCATAACTTTACACGGTCATTAAACAATTGGTAGTAAGTCTAATATATACAGGTAGTCCAAGTGAAACATTTGTTAAATGAATTTTGCCCCATTTTACGACTTTTCTTGCCATTGTTGCTAAGTGGACCACTGCACTCGTTAAATTAGCAATACGGTTGTTAAGCAAATCTGGCTTTGCTTATCACAAGAGGAACACATGACTGCAGGACCCTGCAACCGTCATAAATATGAGTCAGTTGCCAAGGGTCTGAATTTTGACCACATGACCATGGGGATGTTGTAATGGTTGTAAGTGTGAAAAATGGCCATAAGTCACTTTTTCATTGACATTGTAACTTTGAACGGTCACTAAATGAATTTTTGTAAGTCGAGGACTACCTGTACATTGATGCTACATTACCTTTAAAAAGTGTTATGCCTCTCCTGGCCACTAGAGGGCAAAATGAGATCAAGGCTAAAAGAAACTTCACTGATGCTGTAAAATTAATCACATTTGAAATGTAGCGATTGCACATAGTTTATCAGTTGAAAAGGTGAGATCTTTCAGGAAATGTGGGCAATGTGCCTAAAACCACAGTTCCACCCAACTAATCAACTGCACTCCTTTTGCAGGATTTTAATCCATTCCCATACCCCCCACATAATTATCTTTCTTCCAATTCTGGAGGAAAATTCTGCAATCATTCATAGAGTGCTTAGCTCCAATTTTTCTCACTGGTTTGAGTTTCCTTTTTTTTAAGAGAAAGAAGATTAACCCATTAAGCTCTTAGGCATTTTTTTCCCTGAAGGCCCTTTTTTTGTTTAAACGAGGCTTCACTGCATATGCTGAAGGTGGCTTCTTTTGAAGACATATTGGTCAAAAGATTTCGTACTATAGTTATTTATTACAAATAGCCCTCATTTAGTGACCACAATTGGGACTGGCAACTTGATTGTTAGGCGAAGCAGTTGCAAAGTGAAACTGTGACTGGTGCTTCACTTCATTTTTCTTTTGCTTTACAGATTTGCAGAAATTGTAAATACAAGAATTGGTCATAAAGTTACTTTTTCATCACTAACTGTGAAGGATCATGAAACAAGGCAGTCACTAAACAGGAACTTACATTATTTATTAAGCATCTGCAGTGTTTTCCCAATTATATCTAAATAGCCCATCATGCCAGTTCACCACCCAAGGGGGGGAGCCAATTGATCGGCTTTTAAAGAAAGTGAATATCAACAGCTTGCAGGGAGAATCGGTTTCTTCATATTTATTAGATAATAATGTTAATTCTTCTCTATTCTACCATGTTCCTCTCCTGAAGAGGTTTAGCGCTGTGTTTGGGTCTAGGGTTCCTAATTTAGTACTTCCTTAAAAGGAAAGTATTTTAATTAGTTATAAACCTACTTTCAGAGCTCACCTTGTGAGCAGCACCTTTGTCAACCTTGGCTTATTTCAGAAAATGAAGCTGGGCTGGACCTGGATAGAATTTGGATAAAAGATTACCTGAAATATCAGGAATGTAGGCCAGAACCCAAACTTAAACAATTAGGCTTTTGTTTCTTTTTGGTGACCACTAATTTTAAGAAGTCAGGTCTGAATTTTTTTCCCTACTGTGGATATAAACAGTTGGCATAATATCTTTATTGTAATTACTCTGTGGCATATAAATTGCATTTAAGTTTATTGACAGGTATCATTAATCGTCACTAATAAATCTAACCCATCAATGGCGGAAGGAAGTGTGAGAGAGCCCAAAGAAGCAGACACAACTGATTGGTGTGCAAAACTGACTGGCAGGCAAAAAGGAATAAAAACTTAGCCCAAAAATCCCAACATATCAAATCTAACTTAAAGAAGATCTCCTCTATTAACCATTTTTTAATGTTAGCTGTTTTGATTTTATCCTGGTTGAATAGAAAATTGGGTTAAAGCTCAAATATTAAAAAGAAGTAAGAGAGAAGAAATAAAAGGCTATTAATCATAAGGCAATTTATTCACTTTTCCTGAAATAAGAAATGTGTGAATATATAAGATTCTCTCCCTGAAGAAAGGAGAATGGTGGTATCTGAGCCTACTTCCCATACTGTTCCTTTCATTTTGTGTAGGTGGACTGTATTAATATATTGCAGGCTAAAGTAATGTCCCACATCCCTCTTTAGGCCATGTGGCCTTTCTCAGATGGAGAATTTGGGAAGATTGGAGACCAAAACATATGAAGAATGGCTGCAGGGTTTGGGTTTGGCTAGTCTAGAGAAAAGAAGGGGCTAGGTGGGACATGATAACTGTATTCCAGTATTTGAGGGGCTGCCACAAAGGGTCAAATTATTCTCCAAAGCATCAGAGGGCAGGACAAGAAACAATGGTTGGAAAATAATCTTAATTCCAATTAGCCAATGGAACAGCTGGCCTTCAGAAATTGTGGGCTCTCCATCATTGGAGGTTTTTAAGAAGAGACTAAACAGTCACTTATCTGAAATAGTATAAGTTCTCCTGCTTGAGCAGGGGGATGGACTAGACTAGAAGATTTCCAGCTTTATTCTAAGATTTGGGATATCTGTAGTACAGGTAGTCCTTGGGTTACGACTGTAAAGGAGCTTATTGATTGCAACTAATCAGTAGTGGGATTCAAACTTTTTTACTACTGGTTCTGTGGGCGTCACTTGGCAGGGGAAGGTTACTGCAAAATTCCCATTCCCCCACCCCACTAACCTGCTTTCCAGCTCCGTTCTCCTGTGCAAGGCAACAAAAGAAGACTCAGCCAAAAGAAGATCAGCTGGGACTCGGGAGGCAGAGAGTAGATGGGGGCGAGGCCAGTCAGAGCTGGGATTCGGAACTACTCAAGATTTCCGCTACCAGTTCTCCAGAATTGGTCAGAACCTGCTGAATACCACCTCTGCAACTAATCCAGTGTTACAATCTTTTTTTCAAGTGGTTGTTAAGTGAATGCTGCAGTCATTAACTAAATGTCTGTTTTCAACAAAGCTGTCGTAAAATGTGACTGTGGAATACTGCAAATGGCTATAAATACAGCCAGGTTGCCAAGCGCCCCTGGAGTGTGATCATGTGACTCCAGAGTGGTTAAACATCAGAACTTGGGTTGTAAATCGAGGCATACCTGTGTACAAATTAGAAATGGATTCAAGAGTAGGCATTGGAGGTGACCATGACTGTGTTTGAAGAACACACGTAACCATAAATCTGCCAACTGTGTTTTAACATAGCTTGTTCTGAAAACTGGGCAGTGTTGCTAATTTTTTGGCTTCAGGTGTAGTATGAATCAAAATGCTGGATTACGGAGACATCTTCATACCTAGGTGCAAATTGCAAACAAGTGTTGTATTGTCATGATGTAAGCTCTATGATGTTCATAGTGCATTATGATATCGCGGACACACATATAGGGACAGAGCTCGTGGTGCAATGTTGCATGCTCATTTCATGAAATCCAGGATTCTGCAGAGCCCTCTGTTGAATGAAATAATAATAATAATAATAATAATAATAATAATAATAATAATAATAA